GCCACCTTAGGTGTACGTGGCTGGCGCCTTAGCCGGTTGAGCTATAGGCGCCAAGCCGACTATGTTTCTTGGAAATGAAATAACAGACCATATAACACAGCCTGTCTCAAAACTTTCATAGTGACTCTCGTATCACTTATTCAACAACAAACTCTTACCAGATGTCTAAATGTCTTACAACCTTCATTCAGATTTCTCAGGTACTCTCTCAGTGAAATCTCCCTGGTCTTTTCCAGAGCTTCTGGCCTCTAATCTGGACTGATCACTCTCTGTGTGCCTTTCAAGATTCTTATTAAGCCAACTGTGTGCTGCACATGGTACTAAGTTCTGGAGAAACAAAAGAAACAAGATGGTTGATTCACCTTAGTCCTATGGTGGTGGTGGTTTCCTCCGATCAGGATGCTCATCTTCGAGAGTGGCAAGTAGAACTGTGAAGGTGAGTCAAGTGCTCCCTAGATGATAATAATGTTCGTTTTAGTTTTAATGCTATTCCCTTATTCCCTGTGTCCAACCCCCACCTCTGTTCACACTATTTAGTGAGAAATTGGGGCTTCAATTCTGATCCAGTGAACACAGCCTAACATGATAGGTTAAAGTCACTCAGTTCCCAAACAGGTAAAGACCACTCAACAGTTCAGCTTGGCCTCACTTTTTTATGACTGGGCAGAACCACCCCTTGGGACACAAAATAATAGATTGTGATTTATAGTTAAAACGTTATCTTCTTCATTCCCTTCCTCACCCCTAACTGCATGTGGTGGTGGATGTTGGTGGTCTTTGCTGGGGGTGGGGAGAAACTGAAGCTATCCTCAGGGAAGAAGAGTGGCTGAGGAGTCTCAAGTCTAATCACCAGAAGAAAAGAGAGGCAGTGGCTTAAGAGTGAATCCCACCACAGTTTAGAACCTGGGGCAATGATGCAATGGGGTAGCCGCAGACTGGGCTTCTTGCACCTGTGCATGAACAAAAAAACAAAACATGAGGCTTAAGGTCCTGCCAGAGATGGGGAGAAAGCACTTTCAGAGCAAGGTCCTGTGTGGTGGTGTAGGAGGGTGGCTGGTAGAGGTGGAAACAGAGTAGCCTAATGGCCACAGGAGGATGTAGCCTAATAGCATGAGGTGGTGACTCTGTGGCCTCTGCCAGGTGTTCAGCCCTAAATGCAGAGCAAGGGTACCATCTTGAGCTCTGGAGCAGAACAGTTCTGGGATTCTGTGCACTAGGATTGCCTGTGAGCCTGATGCCTGGATTCTCCAGTCCACACTCAGCAAAAGGTCTCTTTACACAGGAGGGATAGGAAAACTGCAGTTGTGAGATTCAGCAACCCACCCCTTCCTACACCCTTCTGTGCTTTGATTCTGTCCCTGGCCATGCCCATGGCTGGTGTCCCAGGGGAACACTGTTACAATGTGAAAGCAAGCCTGTAGGTTTCCTGTCTCATAAACCCAGTGGAGATGCTAACAGGTCCCCCAGTGCACCTGTACTGCATTCCTAAGGCGTGGTCAGGCTGGGGCTGGGAGGAGCTGGCTGCTGGCTGTCACTGGGGCTTCTCAGGCCCTGAACCTAAATGCTCTGGAGAGGTGTCTGGATGACACAGTCCTGGAGAATCATACTCATCATCCCTAGATTCCATCCTGCCCTGGATTCCTTACAGATCCAAGTTTTTAGACACCTATTTTTCCTGTTTCCATTCTGAATAAAAACCTCCCACAAGACGCATAAATATTCACAGCATTTTAGAGCTAAAGGGGGGCTTAGAAGTATTAACCCTCTTATTTTATAGGTAACCGTTCCCACAGTGGTTAAATATCTTACCTGACCTAGGAGTTGACATTATGCACCGTGGCTCTTCTAGGCATCCTCCTAGCACTTTCTTCTGGGTTCAGAAGGGAGCCTGGGTTGCACAATCTGAAAGGTCTGAACTGTGCTTAGGGCAGGGCCTGCTCTTTGATCCAGCCTCTCAGGAAGCCTTCTGGGGAGGCAGTTGGTCCCTACTGCTGGGGGTTCACTGACCTTACGGTAAGGCTGCTTAGCATTTCTCATCCCTTTCAAGCTCTCCTGCTCTCCAGGCATTCATCCCTCCAGACAGAATGGCCTTTGCTGCCATTCCAGGCCACAGGGAAAAAAAATCCTGTTACATTTAGGTCCAGGCTCTGATTAAGTGCTTTTTATGCATTATCTCACTTATTAACTCATCTTTGTCAGAAGTTGTCAAAGTTATAGATATTGGTTTCATGTATGATGATGAAGACTCTAGGGTATCGATCCTAAAAACTAGAGTAGGTGGATGATGACCCACCAAACAAGGCTGATGGCCTTTCTTCCCAGTGTACAACACTAGTCCCTGGGGCAGCAGGAATGAAGCTGAAAGGAGGCCCTGGACTCAAGGGGCACCCTAACAGACACGCTCTCCACAAAGCCTACCACACAGCTCTCAGCATGGTATGCTGTGTTTCTAAAGAGCAAGGTCATATTTCATTCTAAAAGCCCATTTCCCTCAATTGATGAGGGAACAATACTCAGCTCCCTGCACCTCTTCAGATGGGAAAGAAATGCTTACTATGAGTCAATTAAAAGTTATTTATTTTCTAAATGTATAAAAACACATACAAAACAGGAACTCATTCTTGGATGGAAGAAAGAGAAAATACTTTAACCATGGGCAAGGTCACTGTGGAAAAAGTACTCCTCCTAAACCATTAGCAATTTTAATCACCTCCCCTGCTCCAGATTCTTTAGAAGTTACTATGTCTAAATTACACACGGGCAAAGAGTAAGCTTTATTAAACCAGACTCATAAAAGTAAGAATTGTACTTTTCCAGGTTTACAAAATATAATTCCAAGGTTCTGAAGAAAATAATCTTATGTCAGTCCCAGGGAACTTTTCTTCCCAAGAGTTGATTGGTTACTTTCTGCGGAAGAAAAGAAAGATAGGAAAGAAGTTAGGTGTTCTTGTCATCAGAGGCAGACGCCACTCCTCCCACCAAGCCAGGAGTCTGCTTCTACCTTGTTTGTTTTACTCAGCTACAGAAACTATGCTAATTATACAAAAAATATACCCTGGAAGGTTTAAGAAAGATGATCTATAATAAATATCTATTATTTCTATGCAGATGCAGATAATTTCTAATCCTTACATACTAATCAATCCATCAGTTCACAGACACATAAGCACAGTGAGAGGCCTTTGGCCTTGCAGTAGTGACATGCCAGAGAGGTTGGGCAATGCTAGGCTCCCCCGGCCCCACCTGAGGCAGCTGGCCTAGGTTCTTGGTATGCTTCAGAAAGCTTCCCCATCCCACATCAGTCTGGCACGAACTGGTCTTTTGATTTCTGAATTTCAGAGTACTCTGAGGTGTAGTGAGGAAGCAAGAACAAGAAAGGATGTGATCCTTCAGGCACAGTAGCCATTCTCGTTTCTCAGGGAATGAACTGGCAGTCAGACTCCTGTTGCATGAGGTTCTGAGACCTGTGGCACCACTGACTTCACTGGGGCTACAGGCAGGAAGTAGTGGCAGTTTGGAGGACTCTGACCCCATAAGTGGACAACTCTTATGCCACACTTACCCATTTTCCAGTTTATCTGAACAGTTCTAGAGGTATCTGACTTACTCATGAAAGGCACTATGGAATGTAAACCTGACAATTTTGATTTTTTGACATTTCCATCAAGATACAGGAATTGAGGCTCGGCGCCTATAGCTCAACCGGCTAAGGCGCCAGCCACGTACACCTAAGCTGGCGGGTTCGAATCCCCAGCCCGGACCCGCCAAACAACGATGATGGCTGCAACCAAAAAATAGCCGGGCGTTGTGGCGGGCGCCTGTGGTCCCAGCTACTTGGGAGGCGGAGGCAGGAGACTCGCTTGAGCCCAGGAGTTGGAGGTTGCTGTGAGCTGTAATGCCATGGCACTCTGCCCAGGGGGACAGCTTGAGGCTCTGTCTCAAAAAAAAAAAAAAGATACAGGAATTGAAATTTGGTTTCATTCCAAATGCATTCCTGGAAAATGCCTTCCACAGTTAAGGCTGAGGAGCTACATCTGATTTGAAATCTAAACACAGTGTCATATCTTTCAAATTTCAGCACTAGTACAGTGCATTTAAGTTTAAGTTCACCCTCAACATAGTTACTTCTGAGAGAACGCTCAAACACAGTGGCGTGTTTCTCTTTATTTTCTCTCCTGATAAAACTGATCCACCTTGCTCTAGACAGAGGACTGACTAACCTTTTTATACAGCTGGGCTCGTAGTCGGTATGACTTATATTCTGATCTCCTCTTCTCTTCTTCTCTCTTTTTCTTTACTTCTGGAAGCTGCTCATAAATCCTTAGAAATGGCACCAGTGGGAAGACAGAGAGAGTGAGGGGTGGTTATCAGGGTGCAGTGGTACATGACCTCCTTCCCCATCCCCGCCCAAGATCTCCTGCTCTCCAGGCATTCGTCCCTCCAGACAGACCCTTAGACACTTGGACATAGAAAACACCCTGGCCTAGGCTCATAATCTGGAAGGTGAGACAGATAAATAAAAACATAAAATCCTGGTAATAGTGGTTACTTCTGGGAAAGGAGTAGGATAATGGGGCAGAAGCAAACTTCTGCTTTGTATCCTACATGCAAACATGTATTGTTTCAATATAAAATAACAAAACACAAAACTGTATTTTTAGACACAAGAAAAATTACAGGAAATAAAACTACTAAAATGGTTAAATACACAAAATGCTACAGAGTTACAGAAGATGAAAAAACATTCTGATGGATGGAGATCAGGAAAAGCTTGAGAGAGGAGATATCAGCTGCGTATTAACATTAGTTAGGAGCAGAAAGGGAATAGGAAGAAGTGGAAAGGGAAAATGAGTGTTGGTTAAAATGGAATCAAGGCTTCATAGAGAGGTGTGTCGGGGAACGGGACAGAAGGAAGTAGGGTGAGGATGAGATGGGCTGTAGAGAATCTTGTAGCCATGAGAAAACCTCAGGCTCTACCAAGGGCAACAAAGTGAGACTCTGTCTCAAAAAAAAAAAAAAAGTACTATTTTAAAATATACTTAAAAATAACAATAACAAGTCTATTATATTCTAACAAGAGTAACCTACTTTTCAAGTGAAAAATAAAGATGTTTTCCAAAACAAAAACATTTTAGTGAGAAGAGTGGCACTGTCGTATGGTTTTTTTTTTTTTTTTTTGCAGTCTTCAAGTCTGATTTAATAATAGTCAGGTAGCCTCTTATACCTGCTTTTGTATTAAGTTTGTTGTCAGATATTGCTTTGATTAAAGCATACATTAAAAAATCTGGCCAGGTGCAGTAGCTCATTCTTGTAATCCTAGTACTCTGGGAGGACAAGGCAGGTGGATGGATTATTTGAGCTCAGGGGTTCGAGACCAGCATAAGCAAAAGCAAGATCCCATCTCTACTAAAAAAAGGAAAACTGAGGCAAGAGGATCACTTAAGCCCCAAAATTTGAGGTTGCTGTGAGCTATGACACTCTACCCAGGGCGACAGAGTGAGAATGTCTCAAAAAAAAAAAAAAAAAGAAAGAAATCTGGCTGACACATGTATGTGGCTAGAAAGAGTACTTTTATACTGTTTTCAGATGAGCACTGATCTTCTTTGACAATACAACGAAACTTGACAAATGGCAGTTTCCTTTCACAGGTGTGATTGTAGCTCACTTTGGCACTGAACTCCTGAGCTCAAGCGATCCTCTCACCTAGGCCTCCAAGTAGCAAGGACTGCAGATGCACACCACCATGACCAGCTTTAGTGAACTTTTTATACTGGTTTTTTTTTTTTGAGACAGAGCCTCAAGCTGTCATCTTGGGTAGAGTGCCATGGCATCACAGCTCACAGCAACCTCAGACTCTTGGGCTTAAGTGATTCTCTTGCCTCAGCCTCCCAAGTAGCTGGGACTACTGGTGCCCACCACAATACCCAGCTATTTTGTTTTTGTTGCAGCTGTCGTTGTTGTTTAGTTGTCCTGGGCAGGGCTCAAACCCACCAGCCTCGGTGAATGTGGCTGGCGCTGTAACCTCTGTGTTACAGGCGCTGAGCCACTTTTTTTTTTGAGATAGAGTTTCAAGCTGTCTCCCTGGGTAGAGTGCTGTGGTCTCATAGCTCACAGCAACCTCCAACTTTTGGGCTCAAGCGATTCTCTTTTTTTTTTTTTGAGACAGAGCCTCAAGCTGTCACCCTGGGTGGAGTGCCGTGGCTTCACAGCTCACAGCAAACTCCAACTCCTGGGCTCAAGAGAGTCTCCTGTCTCAGCCTCTCAAGTAGCTGGGACCACAGGCGCCCGCCACAATGCCCGGCTATTTTTTGGTTGCAGCCGTCGTTGTTTGGCAGGCTTGGGCTAGATTCAAACCCACCACCTTATGTGTATGTGGCTGGCACCCTAGCCACCTGAGCCACAGGCGCTGAGCCAACTTTTTATACTGTTACATAAAAATCCAACAGTCTATCTTGACTTTGTGTGGATCTTTTATCCATGCCTGATTTTGTGATATCATTCAACAATCATTTGGAAAATCCTTTTCCAGAAAGTTATGCAGATATTCTGAATGTTAACAAATTTACTTGTATCACATTTAAATCATCACATTTGTTAAGCTCACTGCTGATCTTGTCAGAAAAGTCCAAGTGCTGAGAAGTTGCAAAGCTCATGCTGGTGAATACAGTTTTCTAGAACTCTATGGTTTGCTTGAAAGCTCAAATTTTCTCTTTAGCAACAAATACCATCAACTTCTTTCCCTGAAGTGACAGACTCACTTCTCCATTTTTATGAAAATGCCTGCCATTTACATCTTTTGTATTAACCTGGATTGAGTTGGAACACATTTGTCTTAGTAAAGTATCACAAGAATGGAAAAGTAAGAATACAATGTACTCAATTCTAATACGAAGCTAGTAGATGATCTAATCCATACCCGCATAAAAGAAAAACTCAAATCAATTCAAGGTGGGGGGCAGGGGAAGGACAAAGAGGGGAGAAGGAAGAAGAATGGGGGTGACAGTGTATGGCACACCTCTTGGGGGTGGGACACAATTATGAGACTTTACCTAACAAATGCAATCAGTGTAATCTAATTCTTTGTACCCTCAATGAGCCCCAAACAATTAAAAAAAAAAAAAGAAAAGAAAAGAAAAAGAAAAGAAAATGCCTGCTACGTTGGAATGTTGGAATAATTGGTTTATCAGTCAGTTATTTTTTAAAATAAAATTGCATTCCATGAAAAAGGAAGCTAGTTCAGCTCACTATGCAAACCATGCCATTAAGTGCTTTTCCACGCAATAGTCATCACATTTTGGCATGCAGCTAAGTACTGTGTGCATGTACATGTCTGTCTATGCTGCTCCCACAGTGTTGCCACTGTTGCTAAGCTACTCCTGGTGGGTAGCTGTGAAGGGTACAATGCCTGTTAGGCTCATACTGTGTGGTGTCACTGCCGTGGGTAGTGCTCAGGCACTGGTGGTTTTACTCCTCCCCCTGCTGCTTTTGCATCATCAGTGTAAATCTCAACACAGTGAAAGAGGCACATAATGTCTTAGTATTATTTTAAAATTAGTTTTGCCCTTGCAAATCCCCTGGAAGGGTCTCAGCAACTTCCAGGGTGTCCACAGACCACTCTCTGAGAACCACTGGATTAAAGCATCCTTTTGAATTACCTATGAAGGTTTACCAAATGGAGAATAAAAACAAGATTTCAAGAGGAATGCTTAAATTACATAAGATAAACTGTTTTTATCTTCATTATTTCAGAAGTATTACAACTATTCAACTACAGTTGTTACAACTATACAACTGCTCTTATTAAATAAAGCAAGCCTCCAAAGAACACCTAACAAAGTAAAATTTAACTTAGATACTCCATAGCATTCTCATAATCAACATATGTATATCTTTTGTTTTGTTTTGTTTTAGACAGAGTCTCACTTTGTCACCCTCAATAGAACACTATAGCGTCACAGCTCACAGCAACCTCAAACTTTTGTGCTCAAGTGATCCTCTTGCCTCAGCCTCCTGAGTAGCTGGGACTATAAGCACTTGCTACAACAGCCAGCTATTTTTAGATACAGAGTCCCACTGTAGCTCAGGCTGGAATATATGCATTTCTTAAATTAATTAATTAATGAGTAGCTAATGCTTACAATGGCACAAAATTCAAAAGGTATTTAAAGGTTAAAAAATCTCCTACCTCTGTACCCAGCCACTCAGTTCTTTTTTCCCAAGGGCAACCACTATTATCAATTTTTTGTCTTCCAGAATTATTCTACATAAAAGTATATACATCTATATAAGCACAAATACAGGGTTGCCCATAATGTTCTTGGGCAATTTTAAATTGCACACTATTTTAAATAGCACATGAACTTCATGGCCGCCCTGGACTTCTTTATGAAGACCACAAATGAAGTATACACATACTTCATTTTTCAAGTTTAACTTTATCTATCTTAGAGAATATTCCATTATTTATCACTCCATAGGATAAATTCATATGATAAAAGGTCCATAAGATAAAGGGTATGGCCTCAAATAAATATTTAATTTTATTTGAAAATATTCCTTATTTATATTTAGTTTTCTGAGAAAGAAGAACCTAACTAAAGCATGCAAATTGTTAAGGATTCTTTTTATCTTTTGTACATGAGTCATTTATACCATAATGTTTTGGGGTTTTTGCCTTTTTTAGTGTCACAAATGAGAAACTACTTTCATAACTTTCTCATAAGGTTTAAAGTTGAGCATGATGCCTATATTCTAGGGGGCAAGCCAGAGCTCCTTACCGCTTGGTGGCCTAATTTATACTTTCATAATTACTCTTATTTTTTGGCCTTACCGTTTAGATCTCTGAATCATTTCCTTCTTTCCTATAGGCCTGTACTTCTGGGTAGCCAGGAAGACTAAGGAAGAGAAGAAGAGGTTTTCAGTGAATAGTAACTTAATAAAGAAGGATGTGATACCCAAGGGTTGTGAGAGGGAGCTGCTAGGACTTTGTCCCCCTACCTTGAACTGGCAGTACTGGACGGTGAGCAATGATCAAGGTCAAGACTAGGGTTAGATTAGGGTGCCTAAGACAGCAACCTAATACCTCTCCAGACATCACTCTCTGTAGCACAGACAGTTTGAATTGAAAAACTTACAAGTTTATGGGTAAGGTTATGATGAAATCATTAAGTAGGAATTTATAATTTTCACAGCTTTCATACATTATTTATTGAGGTCTTATATTTAGCATAATTGTCAAGAACAAAGACTCTGGAACCAGCTGAGCTGTGTTCAAATCTTAGCTAGCTGTTTTACTTATTAGGTGTGTAATCTTGGCCAAGGTACTTAATCTCTATTTGCTTCAGTTTTCTCACTATAAAATAGGGATATTAACAGCACCTACCTAAGAGAGATGTTATAAACATTAACTGAGAATAGTGTTTAGGCAAGAAGCAAAGGCTATATAAGTGCTTTTATTTTTTTTTTTTTTGTGACAGAGTCTCACTCTGTTGCCCTTGGTAGAGTGCTGTGGCATCACAGCGCACAGTAAGCTCAAACTTTTAGGCCCAAGCAAATCTCTTGTCTCAGCCTCTCAAGTAGCTGGGACTATGGCACCTGCCACAACGTCTGACATGTTTTTTTTTTTTGAGACAGAGTCTCACTATGTTGCCCTCAGTAGAGTGCCGTGGTGTTACAGCTCACAACAACCTTAAACTCTTGGGCTTAAGTGATTCTCTTGCCTCAGCCTCCCAAGTAGCTGGGACTACCGGTGCTCGCCACAAGGCCCGGCTAAACACCAGACTGTTTTAGAGACAAAGTCTTGCTCTGGCTCAGGCTAGTCTCAAACCTGTGAGCTTAGGCAATCCGCCCACCTCAGCCTCTCAGAGTGCTAGGATTACAGGTATGAGCCACCGCGCCCAGCCTCTTAAGTGCTTTTTATTATTATTACTATTCTGTGAAGTGGGCAAGCCTGGAATTGGCCCCATCTTTAATGAAAAAAATTATAGTTTGGGAATTAACTTGCTTATGGACACAGAGCTGGTTTAAGAAAAAGCCGTTCTCAGGCCAGGTGTGATGGCTCACGGTTGTGATCCTAGCACTCTGGGAGGCTGAGGTGGGTGGCTTACTGGGGCTCACAGGTTCAAGACAAGCCTGAGCCAGAGCAAGACCTTGTCTCTAAAAATAGCCGGGCATTGTAGCTGGCACTTGTAGTCCCAGCTACTGGGGAGGTTGAGGCATTGAGGCATAAAAATCACTTGAGCCCAAAACTTTGAGGTTGCTATGAGCTATGACGCCATGGCAGTCTACCAAGGGTAACAAAATGAGATTCTGCATCCAAAAAAAAAAAAAAAAAAGGCTCTTTTCATTGTACACCCTTGTTCTCATTCCATTGCCCAGGCTGGAGTGCAGTGGTGTGATCATAGCTCACAACCTTGAACTCCTAGGCTTAAGAATTGCCTCCACCTATGCCTCCCCAGTAGCTAGGACTACAAATGCATACTCCACAACTGGCTAATTTATTTTTAGATAGGGTCTTGCTCTATTGCCTGGGCTAGAGTGCAGTGGCGTCATCATAGTTCACAGAAACCTCAAACTACTGTGCTCAAGTGATTCTCCTGCCTCAGCCTCTCAAGTGGCTGGGACTATAGGCAAGCTCCATCACACCTAGCTGATTTTTCTGTTTGTTATAGAGACAGTCTTGCTCTTGCTCAGACTGGTCTTAAACCCCTGGCCAAGAAATCTTCCTGCTTCACCTCCCAAAGTGCTAGGGTTACAGGTGTGAACCACTGCACCTTGCCTGATTTTTAAATTTTTTTGTAGAAATGGAATTTTGATATGTTGCCCAGGCTGGTCTTGAACTCCTGGCCTCAAGAAATCTTCCTGCCTCAGTCTCCCAAAATGCTGGAGTTATAAGTGTGAGCCACTATGCGTGGATCCTGGACACTCTTCTCTTTAAAATACAGTGACAGGGCCAGAGTGAACTTGTATCATAAAAAGTGCTGAGAGAAAATTTAGGCAGGTTCTGCTAGGGAAGGAGGACTTGCATCTTAGCAAGCAAAAAGCCACTTTCTGTCCAGGTAACTGGCTTGGCATTTAGCAGTGATCCACAGAAAAGTGGCAGACTGTGCCTTCTGTTACACTGATAGGAAAGTGGACAAGCAGGTGTACTTCTCTTGGGTAGCAGATGGGTAGGATTCCGGCTACTCTGCCATTCAGTGTTGAACAGCGCCTCCCGCTCACTCTGGAATATGTTCTGCAGCTTCCTCTCCTGGACTATTAACCTCAGGCGCTTTATGCGTTCTCCAGAGCGTGAGATGAAGTCAGGTCTATGAAGCTGAAGTGATTCCTGAGGAGAAAAAAATCCAACCCAGACTTCACATTAATGCTGTAGTCCACTTGTCAAGTGCCTAGAAAAATAATCCTTGCTCAATGCATTTGGAAAGCCTGTTAACACTCAGAAAATATTCAGAGTTGAAGAATACTCTGATACCTCTCTGAGGGGAAAAGCTCCAACAGGGAAATAAAAGGAATCAGAAAAATACCTTTGGAGTAAGCCAAGAACTAAGACTGTGGCAATCACAATTATCCCAAACATCAATGGGATAGAGCTCTGCCCATTGTACTATTTTAAATTTCCTTTCAAACAAATACTTCTGGAGATAACATTTCCTTTATCCTCCAAGAGACATATAAGAAGAGACTAGGTGCCTTTTAATTCCTATGTTAAGCAGGAACAGCAGTTAAATAAATAGAGGAATATATATGAGGCTGACACGAACCTCAGGCATCCGAGCACTATACATGCAGATATCTACAATGAACAGTACTAAAAACTGCCCCCCTTCTATTGCCTTGTCCTCAGATTCTGAGAGTCATGCACTATTTAGAATGGTTAAGAGTAAGGCAATCTTTGATTGAAAGCTGATGAACTGTGGAGGTTACAGGAATAAACCTCAGCATGCCAAGTCATAGATGCAACTTCTTTGTGTCTTGACCTTCTTCTCCCTAAACAGAGGGCTAAAGTAATTCAATGTCACCGCACCTGCAGGGTTGCTCTCACAAGTGATTTCAGTGCATCTCTGCCATCTCCTCTGACTGGGTCTGCCAGTGAGCCCCCACCATCCATGTGTTGTCCCTGCCAGTTCTGTTCCCGCAGTGGCTCCCTCCAGGGTTTGGTTTTGGTTACTGGTTCAAACCAGGAGATACTAGGGCCATAAATCTTGGGCAGATTTTCCTTCTTAGATTCAGACTTCACATTTTCCACAGGAACAAACCATGAAACCCCTGTAGGAAATATTTTTAAGAAGGAAAAAAAGATTTTTCTTATTTTATAGCCCACCCAGCTCCCATCAAAGACATGCACATAATATAGACTTTCAGGGGACTCAGTTGCCAGAGGCCACCAAGGTACCCCTGAGTCTGACTTAACTGCAGGTATGATTCTGTAAAAGTAGTGCTAGATACTCTATAACCTTGCTAAGGAATCCTTGGCAAGGTTATAGAGCAGGTACCCTCAAACTACAGCCTGTGGGCCACATGCAGCCCACCTAGGACATTTAGCCTGCTGGGTGTTTTGCCGCTGCTGCCTGTCCTGCTTAGCAGCTGACTCGTCCCAGGGCCTGCAGTCTGACCCTCCAACGGTCAAAGGGACAGTGAACTGGCCCCCTGTTTAAAAAGTCCGAGGACCCCTGTATATAGAGTATCTAGCACCAAAGCCAGGTGGACTCAACACAGTCATTTAGAAACAAAGAATCTTAACCTTGCAAGGGAACTGAAATTCACTCATTTTTCTGCTACAAAATCTATACTTAGAAACTGACCTTCACAGAAAGTCTGCTTGTTCTTCTTTAAGTTTTTGTCCTCAGGATAATTGGTAAGGGGAACTTTCTCTTCATTTTTTTCTTCTAGCCAAGAAGTCACATCACTGTTCTCTTCTAATCTAGCCTCACTAGGACTTGGAGTTGGGAAAGTCATCCCAACATCTCGAGTGTGGTTTGTGGCACCATTCACAATCTCCAAGTTACCTGAAAGGAAAGATCATCGATATCTCTGGGAATAGCCTTGAGGCTAAGTTAAGGGGTCTGTTCAAGTCAGCAAGTGAACAGTTTTTAGTGCTTCAGAAACATACTGCCTTTATTTAGGGTGAAGGATGGAAGAAAGAAAGAGGAAGAAAAGAAAGAGGGAGAAAAGGATAGGGAGAAAGAAAAGAGAGTTTTAGTATCTAAGCCACCTTAAGTATTAGAGGGAAATAAGAACTAATATGGGTTCAAAGGATAAAGATTTTGGTTCTGATCCCAAGTGAGAAAGAAAATAAAACTTATTGTCCTATTGGCAGTCACCCAGGTATGGAAGAGATTGACAGAAGACAAGACTTGAAAGAGAAAAAAAATCAAAAGGACAATTTATTTTTGTTTTATAAAATCAAAAGGTATAGAAAAGTATCAACTGAAAAGTCTCCTTCCTACTGTTCTCTGTTCACAACCCTGAGACTCCCAATAAGTTTTTGGATTTAATATAAAAGTATACGTTTATTTTCTATTACAGAAAGGGAAGAGATTGTGGGGGAAGAAATGAGAGCAGAGAGCAGGGAGTGAAAGAAGGGCATATGGGGGTGGAGGGTGCAGAGAAAAGGAACAAGAGAATGGCCTACTCCAAGGTTTTTTTTGCACATTCAAACATTTCTCATCTTTTATTTTTAAAAGAATAAACCAGCAGTATGCCACACACTACTCTGCACCTTGATTTTTTTATGCATTATGTATCTTGGAGTTCCTTCCCTATAAGTACAGAGAGCTTCCTCATTTTATTTAGGATTTCACTGTATGCTGGAAATAACTGAATCAAGCATTCAGCTATTGATGGATATCTAAGTTGACTTTAATTTTCTGCTATCACAAACAATACTGCAATGGTTAAGTTGGTACTTTCGCCACCTTGCACATATGGAACTATATCTATAAGCTAAAATGCACATGCAAAAATGCTGGGCAAGAGTAATTTGGATAGTTACTGTCAAACTGCCTTTCACAGTATACCAACTTCAACACCTAAATATATTGAGGGCACCCATTTCCCCACACTCTTGCCCACCAACTTGCTATCAAACTTGAGTTTTGCCAATCTGATAGGTGAAAAATAGTTGGATACAGTTTTAATCTTAATTTCCTTTAATATGAGTGAGGTTAAGTATCTCACGAGTTTAAGAGCCACTTTTATTTCAATGGAAAAGTTTAACTTCAAAAAATTTACCTGCTTGTACACCCTTGTTTAACATATGTACATTTCGCTTATTGCAAAGAGTAGAGTTTGAGCTCAAGAAGGTACCGGGGGAAGATGAAACAGAGTCAGAAGAAATCATATGGTCCGGCACCTGGAAAAATAAAAGAGATCTTGTTATGGTTAGCTGCAACCATAGGCACAGCTAACCCACAGAAGTAAGCCTACAGGTCCCCAGGAGCCCCTTCTTATCTAATTCAAATTGCTAAAATGCAGTTGAAGAAGCCTAAAACGATGTGATCACACCGCCATGAATCACTGAGAAGAATACTGTTGCTGTTGAATAGGTCCTGAGCTACTGCAAGATTATAAGACAGAGAGAGGTTGGGCATATTCTCAGGGCTTGGAATAATTCTTAAGAGGATGGTAACCAAACATTCTAATCTTCTATATATCTTCTGCATATAATTTTGATGTAATTTTGCAGTATGAAATACTATTATATAAAACAGCATTCCTTAAACTTGCTCGTCATAAAGATAGCCTGGGAAAGGGTTAATATGAAATAATGAATTGGAATCTCTAGGGGAGGGGTATGGGTATCTATATTTTAAATAAATGCCAGGCAATTTTCTATTTAATCAAATTTGATCAAGGTGAATTAAAGTCCAAGTAAGGAGAGGTAACTGAAAGTGCTTCCTTGAACAAAATAAATTATATCTCAGGGCCTCAGGTAACTTCCAACAGAATCCTAGAGAGGAGGAGCTATCCTAGACATTTGATGACAGGAAATGTATTGATTTTCAGAAAGGTAAGCATTGCAAACGGGTGGGTTGACCAATTTAGGATGAATCACTAATCTGATAATTTGCAAGGAACTGGAGATCAATGGAAGGCTTAGCCAACTTCAGCTAGGGCTCAAGAAAACAGGCAAAACAAGCCCTGCCAGGTTACCCTTGTTTTTCCTAGTAGATACAGTTGCTTGATTGGCAGATCAAAAGAATGTATAGGAGAGTACACCTGCATTAGAACAAAATAACAAAACATTTCATGGCATCTTTGAGGGCAATGTGACATTATATGGTTTGGATAATACACATTGGTAGAGCCATAACTGTTGAACCAACCTTACCCAAATATTATTTTAACACAGACAGGGGCCTTTACTGAGTAGTACTTTTTGCCTCTGATATCAGATATTTACTAAGCACCTACTGTGTGCCAGTCACTGGGTCTGGCTCTGGCTATTTCTTTTTTTTTTTTTTTTATTGAATGGTAACTATGTACATGGCTCTGACTATTTCTTAACATATTATATATCATTTTCTTGGAGACATGGAAAGAAGGAGAATTTCCATACAATGTGCATCTTGTAGTATCTGAATGGCTATCAGGATCCCAAATGATAACAGAAATGATGGGCTCAATCAAACATGAAGATGTTCAGCGTGCATAATTATAAAGTCCTGCACAATAGATAGGAGGAATGGCAGCAACTTTGATGCAACAGTAAAAGCTCTGTATTTGGAGCCTTTTACTAGCTATCTCTATTTGAGCAAGCCACAACTTCTATGTGCCAGTTTTTCCACTTAGATTTTCAAAATCTGCATTTCTGAAATTACAGAAGCATTAGAGAAAGAACCAGTGATTTAGATGCTAAACCATAAAAAACTAATATAAAACTATGAAACTACTATGATGGTTAAAAAAAACTCCAAAAGACACTAAAGAAGACATGACCAATGGACAATACATGGTACCCTTTCTGTAGGTGCACAAAAGAGGGAGAAAGCACTTTAGGTACTGAAGTAGATGAACTTTCTTTTTTCTTTTTATTTTTTTTTAGTAGATGAACTTTCAACAAAGACATTAGAGTATAAAAAGCAAAGTATGCTGCTATTTTTGTGAAAAAGAGTAGAAAACATATGTAAGTGTTTGCTTTTTTATTTATAAAATAGCTCTGAAAGAAAAGAATCCCGATTGGAAGGGAAGAAGTAAAACTGGTTATATTTACAAATGACAAAATCTTGTCTGTAGAAAATACATATACTAAGGAATCCACAAAGAAGTACCAGAACTAATAGACAAATTTACCCAGGTTGTGGAATATAGGATCAATAACATAAAAAAATCAATTGTATTTTTTTATTTAACAATGAGCAACCTGAAAATTAAATTAAGAAAACAATTCTATTCATAGTAGCTTCAAAAAGAAAAACATTTAGGAATAAAATTAACAATAGAAGTATCATAGTTGCACACTAAATACTAAAAAAACATTGCTGAGAGAAATTAAAGATCTAAATAAATGGTGAGATACTTCACATATTTGGGCTGGAAGATCAAAGTTGTTCAGATGGTAATTCTCCCCAAATTAATCTATAGAATCTCTATCAACAGCTACACAATCTCTATCAAAATCTCAGCAAGCTTTTTAAAGATATCTACAAGCTAACCTAAAATTTATATGAAAATGAAAAGGCCTACAAGAGCCAAAAATTGGAAAGAAGAAAGAAAAGAACAAAGATGGAGGACTTACAATTCCCAGTATCAAAACTTACAAAGCTAGAGTAATCAAGAGATTATGGTATTGGCATAAGAATAGACACAGGCATATCAATTAATACAATAGAAGTTATGGAGTCCAGAAATAAACTCTTACATTTATGATCAATCAATTTTCAACAAAGGTGCCAGGCAACTCAATGGAAGAAAGGACAGTCTTTTAAACAAATGACGCTGGGACAATTGGATATTCATATGCAAAAAGATGAATCTAGACACTAAATCATATACAAAAATAGACTCAAAATGGACCTTACATCTAATATAAGAACTAAAATTGTAAAACTTTTGAAGGAAAACATAGTAGAAAATCTTTGTGACTTTGGTGAGGCAAAGAGTTCTTAAATAGAACACCAAAGCATGATTCATGATAGAAAAACATTTTAAACTGGGCTTCATCTTACTATATTAAAACTATTTGCACTTTAGAAGACAGTTTTAAATGAAAAAGTCAAACCACAGAATGGGAGAAATTATTTGTAAATCATACATTTATCTGATAAAGGACTTTTAACCAGAATAAAGAATTCTTAAATCTCAGTAAGAAGACAAATAGCCTAATTTGAAAATGGTTAAAGGATGTGAATAGACATATAGGAGAGTGACCAATAAATACTTGAAAAAAATGTTCATCATCATCAGTCATTGGGAAATTCAAATTAAAAATCACAATGAGATTGTTATGAAACTATGTGAGCAAGGAAGCCACTTACCAAAGGTGACAAAGTGAGACTCTGTCTATAAATAAATAGATGAATAAATACATAAGACAATGACACACCACTTCATACACACTAACTAGGATGGTTATAACCAAAAGGATGGAAAATAGCCAGTATTAACCAGGAGATGGAGAAACTTAAACCAGTTAGGAATGTAATGATGCAGCCTCTTGAGAAAATGTTTTGGCAATACCTTAAAAAGTTAAACATAAACTTACCATATGATTCAGCAATTCCATTCCCCACCCCCACCAAATGAAAATGTACTCCCACACAAAAACTTGTGCAAATGTTAATAGTAGCATTAATATTATCCAAAAAAGGAAATAATCAAAATGTCTATAAACTGATAAAATGTGGTAGATCCACTCAGTGAAATACTATTTAGCAACAAAAAGAAACTATTGATACTTAGTACAAGATGGATGAAGCTTGAAATCATTATGTCAAACAAATGATCCAAAAGACTACATGTTATACAATGCATTTACATTAAATCCACAGAAAAGGAAGACAGCTAAGTGGTTGCCTGGGGCTGGAATGTGGATTGACTCAAACAGTACTTAGGGACCTTTTTGTGGAGACAAAAATGTTCTAAAAGTGGACTGTGGTAATGAGTGCAGAACTCTCTAAATTTACTAAAAATAACTGTATACTTGGAATACATGAATTTTTTGGTAAACAAATCATAGTCAATAAAGCTGTTCTATAAAAAAAAAATCTCTGTAGAGATATGCAAGAAACTGGTAACAATGCCTCTGGGAAGGGCAGCTGGATGCCTGGGAACACTAGAAAGGGCACTTTTCACCAAATACTCTTTTACATACTTTGAATGTTGTACCATTATCAGTTTAAGAAATAAGAATAAACACGCATACATATACACACTTGTGGAGAAAGGTGTGACAATAAAGATAGGAGATCAACAGTAGTTAGGACAGGAATGTTTTAGTCACTGAAAGGAAGATGGTTAAGTTGGTTTTCCCAATGTGCTCTCCCCACCTGAATCACATGCTTAGCTCAAAGGGACATGTTAAATTATAGGTTATCAACAAACTTGGACACAGGAAAGCTACCAATTTCACAAGGAGAGTAGAAACCATGACCTGGGTGGAAGGGTTCAAAGATTGAGAAGGAAAGAAAACACTTTAGGGAATGAGAAGGGGGCCTGAGAGGGAGAAGATGAGATTTCTTTCCTGTGTTTTCAGAGTTCAAGGAACAGAGCCAAGATTTCCAGTGCAAGATTTTGGACCTTTCATAACTGGAGCCTTAGACAAGTGGAATGAGCCACCTGTAAGTAGTAAGAGGTGTAGCTGCTGAGGCAAAGGTTCCTTTGGTGCAGATTCAAAAACCTCCACATGGTTGGAATGAGCAGGACTGAATACCCAGAGCTCCTTCCTACGCTGAGATTCCATGAACTTCCTGCAGTTCCAAAGTATACAATCAGTCATAGTATGTACCACAGGGTGTGAAAAAAATATAATTACATTGGATTAAAGGAGAATGCTTTGTGTGTGCATTTCTGTTTTTAGTTCAAATTCTTTTTTAGTAATTCCTGCCTATAAAAAAGTAATCATTTAAAAATAATTTCCCTCTCAATAAAATACATTTATTCAGCCATACAGGATGGTAAAAATCAAAAAGACAGAAACAAGTGTTTATTAGAATGTGGAGAAATCAGAACCCTCATACATCAGAATGCGGAGAAATCAGAAACCTCATACATTAGAATGTGGAGAAATCAGAACCCTCATGCTGGCACCATAGTACAAGTGCTTTGGAAAACAGTCTGGCAGTTACTCAGTTAAATAGAGTTTTATGATTCGGTGATTCCACTCCTAGGTACATACACAAGACAAATGAAAAT